CAACTTCTTCCAACAAAGGAAGGAAGGTGGGAAAATGTCTCTTCTGCTTGACTGAGAGATGCAAATTTGATAGTTTTTGGTTGTTCTTTTTCAAGTCTTTGTATAGAGGGAAGTTGAAAGGGACCTTCTTGTGGTTGTGACACTGAGAAAGTGGGGTGAAGTATTTGAATAAGTCCCTCTAGAAAGGGCTCGTGGGCATCAGCATCTAAAAATTGCTCTTCATGGTAAAAAAACCTTACTGTACTTTTTAGAAATAGATGAAATTGCCAGAGGAGCCCCAGAAATGGCCCAAGGGGGGGAACCTCTCTGCTGGGAGCCCAGCAGGAGAGAGTTGGGCTTGGAGAAGGCTCCAGGGAGACCTTCTGGTGGCCTTTCAGTGCTTCAAAGGGGCCTAGAAGAAAGCTGGGGACAGAGTTTTGAGCAAGGGCTGTTGGGACAGGACAAGGGGGGATGGTTTGAAACCAAAAGAGGGAGATTTAGAGCAGAGAAAAGAAATGTTTGACCCTGGGGGTGATGAGCCCCTGGCCCAGGTCACCCAGAGAGGTGGTGGCTGCCCCATCCCTGGCACCATCCCAGGGGAGGTTGGATGGAGCTCTGAGCACCCTGCTCTAGTTGGGGGTGTCCCTGCTCAGTGCCTGGAGATTTGGACCAGATGACCTTGCAAAATCCCTTCCTTTCCCACCCAAACCCTTCTGAGATGTTATGAAGTCAACTTGCTGAAGAACTCAGCTCAGGTCCTGCCCCATCAGCCAGGGGAAACCCACTTGTCACAAGTTTGCTTTCAGGTCCCTCAGCCCCACCAAGGAGTTGATTCTTCTCACTCAAGCTGCTTTTTGCCAAGGGACATGAAAGAAAAAAACCCCAAGGAATTGTGACATTGGGCCCTTGAAGGCTGGGAGCTGTGGTGGGAGGGACAGCAGAGGTGGTCACAGCTTTGTCCCTGGGCTGGGGAAAGGGACTTTCTCACAGAATTTCCATGTGCCTCATCTCCTCAGCTTGTCTTGGGCCACTGGGTGTTGTAAACAAACCCCAGCAGCGTTTCCTGGAGCCCCAGTGAGTCAGCTGGGGTTTTTTTGGGGTGGAAGGAGACAGTTGAGATGTTCTCCTTTCCATGCTTGGTGGACCACAGGAAGGTGCAGGCAGCAGTGCAGCCACGTGGACCAGGTGAACTGGTTCTCCCAGGTCTTTCTGGTGTCACTCCTTGACTGCCTGCCTGGGGTTGGTGGCAGCTGCACCAGGCTGAGTCTCTCTGTGCATCATCTCATCCTCTTCTGCACTGAGCTGCTCTGAGAGAAGACTTCCAAGCAGGAGACTAAAAATTTTGAAGAGCAATAATCATTAGCATGAATTTCTTGGAGTCATCCTGGCAACCTTGTGTATAATTTTGTGTCTGAGAAGGTGTTGGGTTAATCATGAAGAAGAATCATAGGATGTTTTGGGTGGGAAGGGACCTTTCAAGGTCACCCAGTCCAACCCCCCTGCAGGGAGCAGGGACATCCCCAACTAGAGCAGGTTGCTCAGAGCTCCATCCAACCTCCCCTGGGATGGTTCCAGGGATGGGGAAGGAATGATTTGCTCTTTTCCACCCCAAAACCAGTTGCTTCAACTGCCCTTTGTATTTGTGAAAGGTCCTTTCTTTTCTTATTTTATTTTCCTTTTGAGATCCAGCAGAAATGTTTAATCAGGTGGACTTGACAACTTTTGAGTTGAGGTCTACCTTCAGCAGTGTGAAGGACTCTTCTTGTGCTTCCAGAGAAGTTTTCTCTTGGCTCTGAGACTGTGCTGAAGATTTTGCAGCTTGTGGAGGACACCAAAAATGTTTCTTTTCTCTTTGTTTTCCAAGTTTGGCTCTGGGACTCATCTGCAGGGAACAAGAGGTTGTGGGCTGCAATGCCTTCAACTCCTGGGTGACCTGCTCTTCCAAACCTTCATCTTGAATTCAGAGCTCCTTCAACTCAACTCTGGACCCTCTGATGTTGGTGTTTTGCTGCTGTGGAGCTTTGTCCTGGCTTTATAGGACCTCAGTGAATTGGCTTCACTCTTGAATTTGTGGTAGCCCTTTACCACCAGCAAGGTTTTGTTGGTTGCCCATCGTTAGATGTCCATCTTGAGCATTTGCTCTGTGTGCTTCCTGCTCCAGCAGGTCACCCACAGCAGGTCCCCCAGGGTCACAGCCAGGTGGGTTTGGGATCTCTCCAGAGCAGGAGACTCCACAGCCTCTCTGGGCAGCTGCTCCAGGCTCGGCCACCCTCACCCCAAAGAAGTTTCTCCTCCTGCTCAGGTGGCACCTCCTGGGTTCCAGTTGGTGCCCGTTGCCCCTTGTCCTGTCTCTGGGCACCACTGACCAGAGTCTGGCCCCAGCCTCTTGCCCCCTGGGGCCCTTTAGCTCTCACTCAGCATTGATCAGATCCCCTCTGAGTCTTCTCCAGCTGCGTGGCACAGAGTTGCTCCGGCCCCTCAGCAGCTGCCCAACCTCTGCGGGACTCTCTCCAGTAGTTTCTTGTCTCTCTTGATTTGGAAAGCCCAGAACTCGCCCCACTACGCCAGAGGTGGCCTCCCTGGGGCAGAGCAGAGGGGGAGAAGAACCTCCATGGACCCACTGGCCACACTCTTCTTCATGCATCACAGCAGACCGTTGGCTTTATTGGCCATGAGGGCCCATTGCTGGCTGATGTGCAACTTCCTGTCCACCAGGACTTCCAGGGTCCTTCTCAGCAGAGCTGCTCTCCAGCAGGTCCCCCCTGTCCTGTCCTGCTGCAGGGGGTTGTTCCTCCCCTCCCAAGGCCTCTTCTCTTGGGAGTGTTTTGACATGAAGCTGTTGAACCCATGATTACCAAGAAGGCTTCAAAACCCAGGAACATTGTGGTCAGGGGTGGCAGGCAGGACAGGATGACTGGGACAGCAACTCTAGCTTTCTTCTTGTAATAACTTCTTACCATGCAGAAGTAGGGAGAAGTTCTTCTGTCAACCCAGAGCATCACGTTGGTCCTGCTGGGGCCACGTGGATCATTTCCCCAGAGCAGGGGCCCAACTCAACCTCCTGAGGAACTTTCTGAGCTGGTGCTGTCCCAGCTGAGAAGAGAAACATCTCCTGTCTTGAAACTTCATGGTTTGGGGCCAGCATGGCCAAATACAGTGTTCAATAGTCCTAGAAGATGTTTGCTGGTGGTCATTGTGGTGGAGTGAGGAGGTACCCTTGGAGCCAAGGTGGTTCCATCCTTTCCCTGAATCCCTGGAAAGGGGTGGGAGGAAGGAGCTCTGGTCACTGGATGTCTGCAGACAGGGAACTGGGATTTTCATAGAATCACAGACAGGTTGGGAGGGACCTTTGAAGGTCACCCAGTCCCAACCCCCCTGCAGGGAGCAGGGACATCCCCAACCAGAGCAGGGTGCTCAGAGCTCCATCCAACCTCCCCTGGGATGGTGCCAGGGATGGGGCAGCGACCACCTCTCTGGGCAGCCTGGGCCAGGGGCTCACCACCCTCAGGGTCAAACATTTCTTCCTTCTCTCCAGTCTAAATCTCCCTCTTTTAGTTCCAAACCATCCCCCCTTGTCCTGTCCCAACAGCCCCTGCTCCAAACTGTCCCCAGCTTTCTTCTGAGGGCGTAACACACTCTTATGACTGTCCCCATCTTCCTTATTTTCCTCAATGAGAGGAAAAGTTACAGGAAGTTTTAGGCACTGCTTTAATCATCAGCACTCCCTGAAGACCCCGTGTGCGTTTGGAGAACTCCTCTAGAACATTGGTGATCCAAAGTCTTTCCCTGATATCTCACTCTGCAGAGGACCTGAAGTGTCCAAGCCCCAGCACAGCAGGATCTTGAGTGATCAGGGATCTTTTCAATGCTCATCAAGATCAAAAGAGGATCAAGAGGCTGGGGCCAGACTCTGGTCAGTGGTGCCCAGGGACAGGACAAGGGGCAACGGGCACCAACTGGAACCCAGGAGGTGCCACCTGAGCAGGAGGAGAAACTTCTTTGGGGTGAGGGTGGAGCCTGGAGCAGCTGCCCAGAGAGGCTGTGGAGTCTCCTGCTCTGGAGAGATCCCAAACCCACCTGGCTGTGACCCTGGGTGAGCTGCTGGAGCAGGGGGGTTGGAGGAGATGATCTCCAGAGGTCCCTCCCAACCCCACCATGGTGGGATTCTGTGTGCTAAGTATCTCCAAGGGTTAGTTGGATCCTGGTTTCATCACTTGGTGCATCTGATTCTGGTAATTTAGAGGTACAGGCAGCGTTGAAGAATGCACAGGAGCTGGTTGGTGAGAAGTCATGTCCTCTCCACTTGGAGGTAATTGAAGGGCAGGCAGCAGACCTGGCTGGAGGGCAAGGAGTCAAACAAGGTGAAGGAATTACCAAGTCCTACCTCTGGTGTGAGGAGTGTTGACTTTAATTAAACCATGCAGCACTGGGGAAGCAATGAGCTGCTCCTCAGCTCTGCCTGATGACATCTGGCTGTAGAACATTCAAAACAAGCAGACTGGTTTTCCTCAAGAGCTTCTTGCAGGTGTCACCTTCTCCTGGAGGATTGCAGAGCGTTGTCCCTCCTGAGAGGGTTTGGTCATGCCACCAGCAGGGTGTTGCTGGGGCTGTGGGGTGGTGTCTCCAGGGCTGAAAGCCATCAGTCTCCAGGACTTCTGGTTGGGCAGCTCTCTGCTGGCCCTCAACCATCAAACCATCCTTTTGGAGAAGACTTTATTGTAGGACACACAGAAATCTGTTTCCTCCAGCAAGAGGAGGGACTGTGTTGTGCTGAGAGCAGGAACATGGGTTGATACTCTTGGGAGATGGAAAGGATGGGGGTTTCCCCCCCAAAAAAAAGCCCCAGATGACCAACATGACCTGGTGATGATCCTGTTAAGAGTTGATTCCCCAAAACTGAAGCGTTGGGTGGGCTGTGGGCCACCTTGGGTAGGCTGTGGGCCATCTTGGGTAGGCTGTAGGCCATCTTGGTCCTCTCCAGAGAGCAATAACCCCTCTTGACTTCCTTGGTTGCATTTCAGGCAGCAGCAGCAGGCCTTGGCTACGTTGGAGGCTACGTCATCAACGCCTACAGGAGCTATGACAACTTCCTGCAGGACAAGTATGCTCTGCTGCCAGCAGTGATCATCATCTGCGTGGCCGTGGTCATGTTCATCATCGGGTTGATTGGCTGCTGTGCCACCTTCCGGGAGTCCCGAGTTGGCCTGGGGCTGGTGAGTGTCACGTGTCCTCTTCTTCACCTGCTGGGAGAACAGGGGGAGATGTGTGTTTCCAAAGCAGATGTAGGTCTGATGTCAGAGAAACCCAGTGTGGTGGGGCTGAAGGGACCTCTGGAGATCATCTGGTCCAACCCCCCCTGCTCCAGCAGGTCACCCAGGGTCACAGCCAGGTGGGTTTGGGATCTCTCCAGAGCAGGAGACTCCACAGCCTCTCTGGGCAGCTGCTCCAGGCTCTGCACCCTCACCCCAAAGAAGTTTCTCGTCCTGCTCAGGTGGCACCTCCTGGGTTCCAGTTGGTGCCTGTTGCCCCTTGTCCTGTGGCTGGGCACCGTGTGCTCAACAAGCAATGCCCAACATACCTCACTCAGCTCCTGTTTATCTGCCCAGTGTCCTGTTTGAAGGGGAAAGTGTTTCAGATGCTCCTCACACAGATCACAGCAGGGTTCAGGGGACTGCTGACGTTGGGCAGAGATCTTGTGGAGCCACAGTTCTAGTCCAGCCATGCACAGTAATCTCCTAAATTATTTCCTGGTGACTATTTTGACTAGTTTGGACTAAGCAAGTGATTGTCCCCCTGGGCTGGGCACTGAGGAGGCTGCACCTCAAATCCTGGGGTCTGTTTTGAGCCCCTCCCTCCCAGAAGGACCTTGAGGGGCTGGAGCGTGGCCAGAGAAGGGCAACGGAGCTGCTGGGGAAGGGTCTAGAGGCCAAGTGTGGGGAGGAGCAGCTGGTGTTTGCCCCAGGGGAGGTTGAGGTTGGCCCTGAGGAGCAATGTCTCCCTGGCAAGGGCTGTGCAGGGCTGTGCCAGGCTGCCCAGGGCAGCGGTGGAGTCCCCACCCCTGGAGGGGTTTCCAAGCCCTGGAGATGTGGGGTGAGGGACACGGGGCAGTGGGGACCTGATGGTGCTGGGGCAACAGTTGGACTTGATCATCTTGAAGGTCTCTTCCAACCCAAACAGTTGTATGACTGGAAAGGCAAGAAGAGATAATGATGATGGGCCACTATAAATTCATGTGATGGGAATGTGAAGCTGAAGTCCAAGGCTGTGGAATTCTTCCTTACAGTGTCTTTTTCATTTCAGTTCTTGGCCATTATCCTGGTTATCTTCATTGCAGAAGTTTCAGCTTTTGTCCTGGGATTCGTTTACAGGGAAAAGGTAAGAAAAGAATTAACCTCTCTCTGCTAACCAAGGAGAGAGAATAGATCTGAACCTCCTGAGAGGAGGCTGGAGTGAGGTGGGGTTGGTCTCTTCTCCCAAGTAACCAGTGATAGGGTGAGAAGAAATGGGCTGAAGTTGCACCAGGGGAGGTTTTGGTTGGATGTGAGGAAGAATTTCTCTCCTGGCAGAGTGGTGAGACATTGACCCAGGGAGGTGCTGGAGTCCCCAGCCCTGGAGGGGCTCAAAAAACATGTGGATGTGGCACTTGGGGACATGGTTTGGTGGCCATGGGAGTGTTGGGTTGATGGTTGGACTTGCTGATCTTCGAGGTCTGTTCCAACCTTAATGATTCTGTGATTCTAAGGACCTGGGGGACATCACAACAGTCTCTGTTGGGGCCAGAGGTTGTTGATGCTGCCACAGGAGGACACATCCCTCAGGGGAGGCACTGTGCTCTCCAGCCATGTTCTCATGAAGTGCCTCCTCAATTTGACCTAAAACTTTGCTTGAGTTCTATTTCTGATTTCCACCCCATCAATTTAGTTAGGATACAGCTCTTTTGAGCTTCCACTAGATAAAATGCTGAGATCTCATGTTAAAATAACATGATTTGGGCTTTTCCCCTTCTAAACAGGTGAAGAGTGACGTGCAAGGCACGATGAGCTCAGTCTTTGCAAAGTATGATGGGAAAAATTCCGAGTCCATTGTTGTCAATTACTTGCAAAACCAGGTAAGAAAACATCTAAATCATTCTCAGGACAATTGAAATAAGAACTGTTGGGTCTTACCCAACCAGTTTGGGCTGAGAAGGTGGATGAAGTGGTCAGGGTGGTGTCCTGGCACTCGGCTCTGCAGCAGAGTT